TCTCAAGGGTTATGGGCAGCTCTAAACCGGGCTATCGGTCAGTCAAGATAATCTGACTGCCTACCAGCATTCGCAAATTATACTTCTGGCTGCCTTTCCAACCTGCATTACGATTGCAAATACAAGCTACTGAAAACGTTCAATGCTCCACGGCCCCCTTCGGAAGAGAAGTGACAATATATAGTCCCCCTTAAATAGATATGGCTTTGGGCATGTTACAATAAGATCCCCATCTACCCCATATTCTATCTACTTAAGGGGGACTATGGGAGCAAGGTGGGGCTCCGAGCTCTGAGGCCCATGTAATCTTCTCAATTCAACCTACGGCTGCAACATTAGATGACCTACAGAAGCCCTCTCCATCACTGGGGTGGTTTCCCTAAACCCCAATCCCTAAATGATAGCTCCCGTTTTCTTTGCCAGGATCCCTATACCCTGAACCATATATCATCTCAATATAAGCCCTTCATAACCCTATAGAACGGGAATGGCCGCCAAGGCCATAGAAGCAAGACTCTATCTCTCAGGACCCCTTTAATAATAATCCGCCTGCCCCCCCTCCCCCCAAGAGTAACATGTATACTTTAAAAAGAAAATACATTATTATGGGTTGGGAGGCCTTACTCCTAGGAGGACGTGATTACAAGCTCACTGCAAAAAACACGATGTAGCCTCGATGTCCCTGCCTAAAACTCTATGTGGGTGGTTGTCAAAATTATGGTCCCTTTTTGGATCCCTATTATAATATGGCACCTAATATTTAGGGTACCCAAAAAGGGACCCAAATTTTGACGACCACCCATGTGGAAATCGTGATGTATAGCTTTTGGGCTCACAGCTTCTGGCTTTCATAGACCACCAAGGGCTTTTCCAATTTAGTGCTTCCGCTATCGGCCAACGCGAATCGGCATAATAAGGACTCTATTATTTGGAGGCTGTTTCAAGCCGGAGGTCTGTGTACATCAGGGACGGTATTGGGCTTTGCGACAAGCACGGTTGACTTGCTGGTTGGTGGTAGGCAACAAGGAGTTGAAAAGAAAATTGTCATATTGTTGAGGATTCAGGGATCAGTTTCCCCCCTTCTCTACATAAAGTTCAGTAGAAAGGACGTGAAGAAAGAGAACCTACCGACCTATGTAGGTGGGAGGTGTTGGGTGTGCCCTGCAAATCCACGAACGGACTTGGAGGTTCAACTTTGGGTACTTGATGAGGGTTTCCATACATTGGGGTTTTCCTTAGCATCCACATGGCTTTGGGGCTTGAGAAGTACAAAGAGACCACTGGGCAAGGCCACTGCTCCTCTAAACCCTAAATCCCAAATCCAGTGGTTTTGGCCTGAACGGTTTCGGAATCAGACCGGGGATTGAGAGCTTTGGGTTCGAGGCCCAAGGCTGAAAGTCGGAGGTTTTGCGCCTGATTTGGGTTTATGGTTTAGGGTGTAGTGTTTAGGGGTTAGGGTTTAGGGTGTAGTGTTTACTGGGCTAGGGTTTAGGGTTTAGGGGGCGAGTCACCGCCAAGGAAGTGTGGCAGTGCGGCCGATGGTCTTAAGGCGTACCGTTTAAGGTTTAGGGAGCAGTGGCATCTTCGGAAACATGGGGAAACTGCAGGCCTCGAACACTCCCAAGAAACAAGGATCCAGACTCCGCAGATCCAAAACGCCTGTCAAAACCCTGGAAGAAAGTGTTCAAAACTTAGGCTTTAGGGTTCAGGATCAATTCCTTGTCCTTTTTGGAGGCCCCCTTGTCATAATTAATGCTTACTTATTACACAGGGTACCCCAAAAGGTGCATGCTGTAGAATAAGCCCTATGTAGAGCTTTCCAAGCGGTGACCCCACACCCTGAAACCTGATATCCAGTTTCTGCCCCTTTGAAGGCTCACCTTAGCTTAGGGGTGGATACCAGGCTCTGCATTTTTGGGAGGGCACTCTGAATTAGGCTCTGCTGTAGTTCCTTAACCTAGAACTTTAAATTCTCAACCCTAAATCTTACTTAGGCCCAAGATCTTGATTTGTGGCCCTAAACCCTAGATCATAAAGCCTAAATCCACTTAAACCTGCATCTTTTTAAGGCCGTCAAGCGCAGCAGCTGAAGTGGGAAGGAACCTGAGCCCAGAACCAGGCCTCGCAAAGGGCTCCAGCAGCTTGGCTTAGGGTTCAAGGGGTGTGGGGGGGTGCAAGGAGTTTAGGGTTTTAGAGTTTGGGGTTTAGGGTTTGAGAGAGGGTTTAGGCTGTTTAGGGGACTTGGGTGTAGGGGGCTTCGTGCTCAGGATTTCCAAAGTGGCGTAGGGCTTAGGAAATAAAACCGAATACCCTCCCTCAAGCTCACATGGAAAGTATGCCTGAGTCCCTTTCGCAGGGCTCCTTACTAAGAGGACACAGCTTGAACGGCAGGGCTCAAAAGGTGGGATGAAGGTAGGCGGGTGAAAGGATCCCTAGCATATACTCTACTATACAGAGCCGTCTGAGAATGTGAAGGCATGCAAGGTCAGGTCTAGTCGGGGTTGTTGCTTGAGCTCTCATGCATAGTTTTGGGTTGGGTCACTAAGTCGTAGTTTGCCTACTGCTTTTGTTGATAACTTCCTTCAGGCCCAAACACTACAACATTGTTGGTGCTGGATGAGGGTGGGCGGCCACAACATGGGAAGACGGTGCCGGCATTGTAAGCTGCAAAGCAGCTGCTTCGCCCCACATTGCCTGAAAGATGAGGCGGCAGTTCGGCGCGAAACCCGCAAACAAAGATGTTGGCTTTCAGATTGCTTGTGCTCGGCCGCAGCAGCGATCTGAATCAACTTCCGAATCAAACCAGCCCTGAGATCATACGTTATAGAAATGGTCATGCTGCTGAAACCGGCAAACGAAACCTGCCAAACAGCCATCCGTTCACCAAACACAATGTGCGCCCTTCTCTGTGTACTGGCCCTTGCTGATCCAAAAATGGGGGCTTCCAAATGTCTTTTTATCTTGTCTTCTAGATCACAGCCCTATTCTCCCAAATGAACAAAGCCTCAGTCAAGACAGTACCTCAAAGCCTCTAGTCACCTTCCTGTACATGGCATCTCCAATTCCAGATTTCTCGGAGGCTCAGAATGTGCTCCACATATGCCCTGCCTCCAATCAAGCCAAGGAAATTACGAAACTTGCAGCACTGGAGCCTGAACGCTAAACTAGGGAACTAGGGTAGGCTTTTGGTGACCCTACCAAACTTGATTTGCTATGGCTTTACTGAGACTATGTAGATTAAGGATACTAGGACTTAATTTTAATGTGTTTTCACAACAATTTTCCGACCTAAACCTTTTAAACACCAACCCCAGAAGCAGAGCTTTAGAGCTACGGCTTGTTCGCTGGATGGCCTCGGGCGCCTGACACGGCCTTCAGGGCTTCAAGAAGCTCGTAGTCCTGCTTTCTAAGAGAGGGTTGAGGGTAGAGGGTTTAGGGACTCAGGGCTTTGAATTCGGTGTAAGTTTAGGGTTTAGGTTTAAGGGAGTTGATCGAAATTCCTGTTTCCAAAACTTGCCCAAGGCTTGGATTCAATAGTTGGGCAACATTCCTGTTCCCAAAAGGGCCATTATGGAAATAAACTTCCTCTATCTTTCCTTATCGGCCTACAGGGTCCTTGAATGTTTTTGCCTAAGGACCTTTAGATCAACCCCCATTTGAGCTACAGTCTAAACTCCAGTATTATTGGGGTTGTTAAGGGGGGTACAGGAGTTTGGACTATGGATTTCCCAAAATAAGGGGACCCCAATGTAGACCACAATATATTATGATCCTTATTATTGGGACCCCCAAAATGGTACCCCTAATTTTGGGAAACCCCTAAACCCTAAACCCTATATAACCCCTATAAACCCTCTTTAATGGTAGGGAAACCCGCATTTTTGGGAAACCCCGATCTAGAGCTTGGGGTGTGGGAAAAAAGCTTTCAACTATTGCATCGCGCAGCATCAAGCAAGGTCAGACCATCACAACGATGTCCAGGAGGGATTTAGGGTTTAGGGGCTTAGGGTTTAGGGGTTAGGTGTTAGGGTTTAGGGTCTAGGGGTTAGGATTTATGGTTTAGGATTTATGGTTTAGGATTTATGGTTTAGGGTCTAGGGGTTAGGATTTATGGTTTAGGATCTATGGTTTAGGGTCTAGGGGTTAGGGGTTAGGGGTTAGGATTTATGGTTTAGGATTTAGGGGTTAGCGGTCAGAGTTTAATTAGGATTTATGGTTTAGGGTTTAGGGGTTTAGGGTTTAGGTGCTTCAACATCACGCCATTCTCGCATCAAAGCGGATAACCCTTTGCCATAGACCCCACAACTGCCGACCTTTGACTAGAAAAGCCAAAGGTCTCGATGGTAGCGAAGAAAACCTGACAAGGATGGAATCGTGCGGAGCTAGGATTTGAAAATGACGATCTCCAAGAAGTGTGCAGGAGTTTGCCTAAATGTCTGCTCCCAAAGTGGGAACAAGCTATATAGAGTATGGCCAGTGTACTACGAGTTTAAGAACACTGCTGATTTCCGAACCCAAACGAAACGCTTAGGCCACGATCGCTGGCCAGACCTCTCAAAAATGAAGAGTCTAGAGTCCTGTGTTGCCTGTCTTATCCCCTTCTGGACCTCAGACAGTGACCTTCATGTGATTCCTTTCTCTCTCTGCATGCGCAGTCTGTCCTAGCGAAAGGCAACCTTCGCAAATCTCAGTTTGGCAAACCTGCCTCGAGTGAAAAACACACACCACTAATCTTCCTTGTGGTGGGTCCTCGTAAGCAGGCTAGCATCTTCAGGGCCAACACTAACAAACTCTGCTTGGAGAGTTCCATTCGGAATGAGGTGCCGTACCCTGGTCTCGGACGATGCAAGCAACTCAAAGACCTATAGCACTGAACCTTCAAGCCTTCACCTTCAAAAGCGCTCTTCTGGGAGGGGCTTAGGCTCTGGGGCTTAGATTCTGTGCTCCTACAGCCATGACAATCCTGGACCTTAGACCCAATCGAATCCTCGTCCAGCAGCATGTAGCCCACAGCCACTGCTACTGACCGGTTTGCACCAACGAAGCAGTGAACCAAGACCTTCGGAGTTCAAAGCACAACGTGAGGTGGTCTTAAGTGGGGAAAGCCTCAGGAATTCCCACCGCCTTAAGTCTTAATCCTGCACGGTGAGACTAAATAACAGGAACTTACAGTTGTGGAAGAAAAAAAACCACCCACAACACAGGGTAGGCGGAAAGCCCTGAAGACCTTCAGAGGCCCTTGATGCTGCAGGGTGGAAGTCAAGTGAGTTCATGCTGACAATCGTGAAAGAAGAGAAGCACAGAGTAGGGCAAAGGCGACAGGGGAAAGATCTGAATTTCTTTGCAAAATGCAGGACTTGATGCGCGCAGGCAACAATCAATTGCCAGAATGTTGGCAACCGCCGCATTGCATGCTAGAAATTAGCCAGTGAGGGGAGAGCGGAACAGGGTTTCCGCCCCAGGTCGCACGTAGGGTTCGAAAAGCACCATACTTAAGGCTGTCAGCTTTCGGCAATGTTCTTTCTACCGATAAGTCTCCTTAAACAAGGGTCCCCCCTTTTGGGGAGAGACCCCTAGTTTTCACAAACCCTACATCATCCCTGTATTAACCCTACATGCATCCTATACAAACCCTACAAAAACCATATGCCTGAGACAGTGTGATCCCTAAACCCCCACCTTGTCGCCGGCAGCCAAAGCATCCCGCAGCCACGGGCGAGCAGCGTCCAAGGCTTTGAGGAGGTCCTAAAGTTTAGGGTTTAGGTTTAGGGTGGCTCTCTTGACTTAGTTGAAAACTGGGGATACCTAAGTAGGTACCTTCAAGGAAGTGATAGGGGCATATAGGTGGTTGTCAAAATTATGGCCCCTTTTTTGTACCCTAAATATTAAGAGCCGTATTACAATAGGGACCCAAAAAGGGACCATAATTTTGACAGCCACCCATGATAGTGGAAATATCATACATATGGAGGGCTCAGGGTTTAAGCTTGCTTGAAGGCTCTCTTGACTTGGTATCTCCACGAACTGATAGGGGTCGCAGGGCTTGTCATAATGGCAGTCGGTGATAGCAAGTAGACCCACTACGTGGAAAAAAGCCTCCAAGTTCTCTGGTTTACAGGAATACTTGGAGGCTCATGGATAGGCATAACTGGGGTTATGAGAAGGATGGGTATAATTACAGCCTACTTCGAACGCCAAGCATGCTCAACCGTGAGCCTACGTTCCTCAACTGTATAAATCTATAAGCTACAAACGCATGAGCCGCAACCCCCTTCAAAGTCCTAAACTTCTTTTTTTGTCTGTGTTGATTTATTCCCTTCGCCAGACCCATACTATCGTGACAGTACCTGGAACTCCCGACCTCCGTGGGGTCGTCGTGCATCAGCACATGATGCCATCGGATCCCTCGGTGATCTAGTAGGGCGGGCGTTGCCACTTGGTTTTGGGGTTTACAACCTTGCGTTGCAGTCTCGTTTTGTAGGAGCCTCTGGAAACAAACTTTTGGAGAACTCGAACTTAGGGTTTCTGCACGGACTCAACACCTTCAACGCATGCCAAAAGACATGACAATATCACTGCAAGCACCAGAACAAGCCGCTTGGCAGTGTTTATTCAAATGCGTTTTCATTCATGCCTCGCACAGTCTACAAACCCACTTCTTGCAAAAAAGCCTTGAAACCTGTGCGCTATCAAAAGGTCAAGATCGTGCTGAAATGCAGCATTTCATACTGGGATCCACCCCCAAGACATCAGCATGCATAATCGCAGGGGCAAACCTCGGGCTTTGCAACCTCAAGCCTCAACCTCGGGAAGCGGAAGATGTGCCTGTTGAACCACAAGGTTAAGAGTTCAGCGTTTAGCGTCGAAACCTGCAGGCTTGGTGATGTGTGACCTTATGAGGTTTAGGGTTTAAGGTCTAGGGTTTAGTGAGGCAACACAATAACAACATATGCCTGAGGTCCTAGGTCCTAGAGGCACCCCTATTCCAAAATCACTAATCCCTTGCGCCTAATAACTAACCCCCAACCCCAAAAGACAAAAACCTTCCGCGAATTACATCATGGAAATCGCTGTTAGGGAATTCATTACTAGTGAGAAGGGGATTTCCGATCTTGCATAGTAGCCTCAGTCTACAGGAAGGTTCTGATCTGAATTTCCATGCATCTATGCCATTGGACATTGCTCGTCGGTATGGATCTCCTTTCTGCTTTTAGCGCACCCTACAGTACGAACTTCATTGCCTCTTGTACACATACAAAAGTCCCTCCGGCTGAGTGATACTCGTGCGGGTGCATGTCTGCCAGATGGTCTGCAAATCGATTTTTCCGAAGCCTGTAACGTTTGGGGGAGTTCTGAAGGTGCCCAATGCCATGCAACAAAAACAACGGGAAGAACCAGAAGGTAAATCTAGACAAACCGGATTGCTTTCAAAATGAAGATGGTGGAAATGGCTTCCCCTGCCGGCCAGATAAACTGCAGACAAACATCCAATCTTCTCGTACATCTCCTGCCAGCCACACATGCGTTCAAGACATGGTTTCGGCATTGAGTTCATGCGAAATGTGAAGTACTGGTGGGGCGAATTGTGGAACAGCTCTGTGGTGGTATTATACGCTCGCACGTACGTTGACAGATCTGCTTCAGCACTAGGGACGTGTCTTGGCAACAAGCATTCCGGGTTTGAGTGGTCACGGGGTCTGATTAACATTGTGACCATTTTGAACTCTACATGGGAGCTTGTCGAAATTATTGTCCTTTTTGGGGTCTTTACTGGAATACAATCTTTGATATTTCCTACCATCTGAGGATTCCAAAGAACAGGTGCACTAGACCTTACACCAAATCAGGGAACCCCCTGCCCCAGTTCTTGATTTACTTTTGCTGGGGCTACAAAGATCTTCATGAAATTGTATTGCTACTACTGCTACTACGACCACTATTACTTACTACGACGACTAGAACTGCGACGACGACCACCACTACCACCACCACCACCGCCACCACCACCACCACCATCACCACCACCATCACCACCACCACCAAGCTATGGCTACTTCTACTGCTACTGCCCATGCAACTGTGACTGCTACCCCTACTCCTACTTCAACTGCTACTCCTAGTACCACCACTACCACCATCACCACTACCGCCGCGGCCGCCGCCGCCGGTAATCCTTCTCCGGCTGCTGTGGCTGCTGCTGCTGCTCCTACTACTACTACTTCTTCTTCTTCTGCTACTCCCACTGCTCCTGCTACTACTGCTGCTACTACTACTTCTTCTTCTGCTTCTTCTACTACTACTTCTTTTTGCATTGTTGGGATTATGACTCATTTCGTATTACCACTTTTGTAAGTCTTGCGGAACATGCGGAACCCGACAAATTTCGGGGGCCAACAGCCACGGCAGCGATCTCATTTAACAAAGCAATAGGAATGCCTCCCAATAAGCGTACCATTAATAAGCGATACCAGCTCATAGCACTAGCACTGGGGACATGGCAATAGATGGCGGTGGAAGCCATACCCTCCCCCAAACAAACACGGAACCCCAAACAGGGCTCAATGAACTTTGTAATCCTTTTGAAAGGGGGCTACATGGTAAACCTCCTTAAACCCTCCTTCCCAAATCTTCTCCCAAATCCGAATCCGAAACCCTTAAACATGAATCCTAGATCGTAAGCCTTAAGTCCTTAACCCTAACCTCGAAAAGTCTTGGGATTTGGCGCCTGACGCTCAGGAGGTGGCAGCTCCTCAATGGTTGAGGGTTCAGGTTTTAGGTTCAAGGCTTGCATGCGGTTTCAGGTTTGGGGTTCAAGGTTTGGGGCCGGGTTTCTCGCAGGAGTTACAATTTTCGTTGGGGTGCAAGATTTAGCGTGTGAAGCGATTCTTGCGCACAACCCTAAACCCTAAACCCTAAACCTAAACCCAAAACCCTAAAGCGAGTTTGTTGTAGGAAGTGACACCTTAGGTTGGGGAGAAGGGTTCGGAGCCTCCGTGCAATTGAGGACAGCGGTGATCTGCTGGACGGCCAGCAGTTCCGCATTCCCTGGGGCAAATGACGGCAAGAAGATGACATCAATGTCAACAGCAGTGGTAGCTCAAAAATACCGATCGATGGTAGTGATAAGAAAAAATTCCAACAGAGTAGCTATAGTAGAAGGAGAAACAGTACAGCAAGAGCACTGTGTAAGGCATTATTGGCTTGAAATGAGCCACACACCAGCCACGAAAGTGTTGTTCTCGACACGCAATTGGAGAAAAAAAGTCAGAAATCGAGGCTACGCTGATCTCGGGGCTGTGAGTTATTTGTTTGTTCTTTCTTCGACTTGGCCACTGATGTTCATAGCTTCAGCAGTAGTAGTAATCGTCGTCGTCGCCGTCGTTGTATTGGCAGCAGCAGCAGCGGCAGCAGCAGCAGCAGCAGCTATTTGCATCGTCATCATCGTGCACATATCCATACGAATACAATTAAAAGGGCTACGGGTGTAAAACATATCACTGACAAGCCCACATCCATCTTCAGTGGAAAAAAGTGCAACGTGCTATATCCGACTGCATGGTCACCCCCAGGCAGAAAAGTGCTGATCAGGAACGCAAAACCGGGTCCCGTGTTTTGAGACATCTGGAGGTCTCAGTATACTTGGCAAGCTACTTATGGAAAGAGTTAGGAGGTACCAAGGTCAGAACAACAAAGCAACACTGATAACCTTCACTGCGATAGTAATATGAACTATATTCTAAACTCCTAGTATCCCCCTCAATAACCCCCATAATACTCCCCTATACAGTCCCTATATAACCCCCTATAAGGAGTTTAGACTATAGCTCATATAGGTCGTTTGCTGGCAGTTGGCAAAAATGCGCCTGCATCCTCCTCGCTGCCAATCAGTAGATGGCCACGGCCATCTCTTGGAACCTAGATGGGAGTGTTCTGAGCCCTTTCGACGGAAATCCTGATTTAAGGGCTTGGATACTTCCAAGTTCTTCACTTTATAGTCCATTCATAAATAGTGGATACGGTGCCCCACAAGATCCCACAGCTCTGTTCTGAATATTCAGGCCCCTACCTGGCCCCATCTTATTGGATGTTTGTAGCTTAAGTTGAAAAACTTGAACATAAGAGTTGAAAAGCAGTTTCCATTTTGTTTTCCTGAACAACCCTTATCAACACTATATAACCCTACGTAAGCCTATGTAACCCAATACTTGCAAAAGCGATGGCGTGGTCTAGCGCACGATGTCCTGAGACGGTCCGATAACTCAGCCTTACCCGGTGAAGGGTTTGGGACTTAGTGTCTAGGGTTGAAGGTGCGCAGTTTAGTGCTAAGGGCTTTGGACCCTCGGGGTCGTGCGAGAAGTGGATTATATGCAACATGCTGGGCTCAAAGAAGCAGATGAAGCGCCCTTCTTTAGTCCCCCCTGTCTGTCTACCCCTGAAGCTCCAAGCAGAGGCATATGCCGAATTGAAAAGCCCTCTACAACCTTCTTGAATAGCAACTAGATAGTCGCTTCTCACACATACCTGTCAAGACTTCTCGCAGTTAGTAGCTCAGGAGTTCAAGCATGGGGAGACCCTGTCAATTTTGAACCAACTATTGCTCAATTCCAGACTCTGAATCCTGCAAGCCGGGTTCTGCACGCACCATGACTCCTTTTTCCCGCCACATTGAACCCTACACCCAAAAAAATGCTCTGACATCAATTTCGGCCCAAAACCCAGTAAAACCTAAACTCCACACGCTACAGCCTTGCCGTGGCCTCTGCGGGGAGGCGCGTCACCTCTCCATAGTCATCCAGCAAATCCAAAGCCAGGCGCCTGAGTTTGACCGTACTACTACTTCGTTAAGGGCTTGGGGTTCTAGAGGGATAGGTTACCTTTGAAGGGGCTATGAGGGTTATATAGGGGTTCTAGGAATCTGTAGGGCTGATGGTTTAGGAGCGTGGGGCTTGGCTGGGGATGGCATATTGGGATCATGATGAAAATTCTAATTGGACTACTATCGGGACCCATCCCTCATATATCCTCAGAGTAAAATTACCTGACCCGGCCAGGAAAACCCTAAACAAAAAAAAACTAAACCCCTAAACCCTAAACCCCTAGACCCCTAAAACTCTACACTCCCAAAACCTAAACCCTTAAGCCCCTAAACCCTAAACCCTTAAACCTTCTTTTAGGAATCTCCCACTGGAAGTCATGTGGGGCAGGCCAGGGTTTGCTGCTTAGGGCCCATATCTTGGGCTGAAGGAAGGTTTGGGTTTAGGGTTTAAGGTTTAGGGTTTAGGGTTTAGGGTGTGGGGTTTAGGGTTTAGGCTTCAGGGTTTTGGGTTAAGGGGTCTGGGTTGTACCTTTAAAGGGGGATATAGGGGATAAGTAGAGGGTTAATATAGGGATAATGGAAAAGAAAATAGAAGCGACCATCTAGCATTTAGGGTTTAGGCTTTAGGATTTCCTGGGGGAGGTGGAGGGGGGTACTTACCACTTCGGGTTGAGGGCTGTGGGCTTTAGATTCTCTTGAAGGAAGGAGGTCTCGTCACATATCGCGGCAAAAGGCAGAATGCAACGCGGATTCTCAGTCAAAGCTGAATACACTAACAGAAGCCAGAGTTACCACTAGCTAGGCGGACAACTGCCTGTAGCAACGGGCGTCTTACTGGGCTTCAGAGGAAATGGGGTAGTGAACCTTACCTACATCTCTCTATGTAATTCCACAACTCCCCCTCTAGTAGTATCTATGTTTACTGCCCCGCTCCCCCTTTAAAGTGTGTAAGGAAAAGCCAGCTGGAAAAGCCATAGAAGCTGAGTATCAACTCAGAACTCGAGGTTGAATTTGAAGGTTGCTGATGAGGGCTCGGAAGAAAAATGCGAAATCCGATTGAAATTCAGCCTGAGGGTGGGAGATAGAATTTGAGATGGGATAATGGAAAATAAAATGGAAACTACTATAGTATATTGGGTTTATATAGGGATAATGGAAAAGAAAATGGAAACTACTATAATATACTAGGGTTTATATAGGGTTATATGTAGATGTTCCCTGACTTTTGGGGTTCAAGTGTAGATTTGACTTGTAGGGCTCAGTTCCCACATATCATGGAAGGTTAGCACAAGTACTGTACAGGTGTACGAACTGCTTGGAAATCTCATGCCGAATTCAGGATTTATATGGCCACATAATGCGATGGCCAAACTGTAATCTGTCCTGCACGTCGACATCCAGGTGTATCTACCACCTGTAATTGGCTTCTATGACCAAAAAACAAAAGCAAAGACTCCAGCATCCTTACCGAGACAATTATTAACTAGAGTTGGGGGAACTGGAGCTCGTGACGATAGCTCTGAACCACAAACCCCAAACCCTATACCATAGCATAATGCCCCTCCCCCCTGTAAACCACGGAATCCTTACCACGTAGCCATACTGCGTGATCCCTCAACCATCCATCGTGCCACCGCCACCTCACACCCAACACCAGAAACCTTGCAATCCCAGAAAATGCAGCGAATGATCTGCATGATAAGGCAAAGATTTCCTTGCAGGTAAAAGACAAATCTGAAACCTCACAGCATTTTTGATAACGATGTGGGCTGGCGCGGTCCGGCGCGATCTGCCCACATAATCTTAAACACACCGTGGGAGCCTTAAGCAAGATAATTGAGATAATCCCCCAAGCTTTCACCTGGGTTGCTATACGTAACCGAAAAATTGCCAAAAAAATCCATCTATGGTATTTGGGCACTTCCCAAGTATGGTATGAATAGATTAGCTTAACCCTGTCGCAAAGGAGGTCTCATATCAAATGAAAATGGAACAACAACCCCAAATGAGCCATCATAGTCTAAACCCCTAGTCTCCCCCATAATAACCCTATAAACATAACCCCTAAACTAAAAACCTACCCTAAAACCTAAACCCTAACCCCTATATAATCCCCTTTAAGGAGCTTAGACTTTAGCCCAAATGCCAAGGCCGCCCAGCTAAGGCCAAGTCCCCGCTGCAGAACTCACAGCTTCCTCCATGGCTGCTAGGACCTGACCAATAATACGAATCATACTGGCAATACTGATAAGACTCAGATGATTCATAATACGAATAATACTAATAAGACTAATCATACTACTAATAAGACTCAGAATATTCATAGATACTAAGAATACAAATAAGATTAACAAGACTAAAAACAGAAAACAATGTCTAAACTTCAAGGTTGAGGGTGTGAGTTGGGGCTCCCTTCCTAGCGCAGTTTTGATGGAAGGGCTTATACATTGGGTCAATCCCCCACCCAGTAATGAGAACTATCGAGGTATCTTAAAGCCCTCTTAACTCCATATTTACAGGCTACTACCGTACTGAACTGCAGGGGGGATTGACCTAACTTATAGTCCCCCAAGTAGATGGCATATGGCTGTGGGTATGTTACAATAAGATCCCCATAATCCCCATGTTCTATCTACCTAAGGAGGATTATAACCGCAATATATACCCTATTATATCCTATTATATATATATATATAGTAGTGTCCATTTTCTTTTCCATGATTCGATTGACCTACCCCAACCCCTAAACCTAAACCCTAAACCCTAAACCCATACAGCAGGTGCATTCCACCACTGCTCTTGAGCTCCAGGCTGGACCTGCGCGAACCTCTTCTTGCCATGATACAATCCCACCCCCTACCGCGCTCGGCTGACGCATCAAAAAAAAAATTGCTAAGCATCAAAGAGAAATTTGATTCTAAAAATCAAGAAAAAAT